TATATATATAATGGAAACATTGGAAAAGTAATTACTTGTTTGATGATGAAATAGCAATGAGAATATAACATATAAGTAAATTGTTCTCTCAAATGAATGATGATGGCATATGACATTGAAAGAGAAAATATGGAAAATAAAACAATCATCGATCAAGTAGAAATTTTCATGGATAACAGCAAGTGAGTACATATTGAATAACCAATTAAAATTATTGCAAACATATTCGTCATGATTATTTTCAAATTTGTTTTTCATTCATGCAAATCATAAAGCACGAACAGATATCGATGCAAAATCTGAACAGAAAAAAGTGAAAACTATAAGGTATAGCTCATCAAACTGAACCTATTCTGGTTGATTCGAACATGGTAAAAAAAAATCAATAAGCCAATTATTTTCTTTATTAAGTTATTTTGTAATCTTTCATTTTGATTGATAAAGAGCAAATGATGAATTTGAATTTGAACTAATGTAAAGAAAGTTAGGGATGATTTAATATTAGAATATTTGATTCTAATTGAATGAGAGGCTTTTTACAAAGAGTGAGGCCAGAGAACAATGAGGCTATTCATCAATAACGCACTTGAAAAGACACAAAAAAAGAGTTGAAATTGGAAATTATGATGTGCGAAAGTTTCTTTTTTAATGAATAAAAACATTAATAACAGAGTTACTGTTAAGATGATTGCTTTATCATTTTGCTAATTCTATCAGTGAAGTAATATTTGGTTTAGAAAAGTTTGAAGGATGCTACATGCATTATTGTTGCTGGGAGGTTTTTATTTGTTGATGATGCTATTAAAAGCTGCGATGGAACATAAAAGATAGCACATCACAATGTGTGAGGTGCCGGCACATAATAGTTGACATTGTAATATTAGAAATAATTTCAGTGTATTTGACCTTTTCAAATTAAGCCTTAATTGAACTACAGTTTCCCATTTCCTGATCACTGAAACTCAAAATATAGTTTACTGTGATGATTAGTCAAAATTACATGATCAAATTAAGTGACTATTAGTTGTTGAATTTAAGCATAATAATTGATGCGACAAAAAGAATTAACAATTTTAACATTAATGGCACATATAAAAGTATCTATGAAGCATTCATGTTGATCATTGATCAATCGATAATTCAAAATAAATTTGCTTACAAATTCTTTATATTAATTAAAAATTTAGATTGCATTAATTATTAATATCTTCAAGTAACAGCAATTTTTCACCCGTTAGATTTATGACGGAAATAGAACGGGTAAAAAATTTGATATAATTCTTCTAAAGAACGAATAAATGATAGTTGATGGATGTGACGGGAAAATTTTTAATAATAAAATCATTACATGTAAATTTTTGATAATATTTTTCTCAGCTAACGATATGGTATATATGATCGTTCGAGTAGAGGAACTAACACAGTGATACGATAATTAATAAAGTAATAATATCGGAAATAATAAGCAGAAAAAACGTTTTAGAAAGATTTTGATATTATAAAAATAGCTTCGAATCAGAGCAATTCAAATGGATATTTTCATAAAACAGATTATTGTAAAATCCTGAAAAAGAAAAGTTCAAATACTCTGTTTTATTTTTTTTTTTGTTAACAATAAGAATCATCAAGAGCGGCAGCATTGTCAAACTGACTTAAAAATTATGATTGCTTAATGAAAAAATTTTTCATTAACCAATCATAATTTTAAAAGCTTTATTTCTACAGATTAAATTCATCAATCACCACTGATAACAGATAATCCTGTACATTATTTTAAAAAATTTTAATTTAAAGATAAATGATAGAGAAAAGTTAATTTGGATAGAAATTATATCCACCATTAGCACAATTCAAACACCAAATGCTGCACAAATTTGTATAAATTCCTTATATTCTTTTATTGCAATAATTGGAACTGTCTGTGATAAAGTTATTCAAATCTTCAAAACTAACTTCAAATTCCACCTAAATCCATTAATTCATTTCTAAAGTTCATTTCAATATCTACACCAATACGTTTCAAGAAAATTTTTTCGCAGCCAGATCTTATTTCATATATTCTGCACGTATACAATGCAAAGAAAAAAGTTCACTTCCATTTGATTTTTTTTTCCGAACTTTTTTGGTGGTTAGTTTGACTAAAACGTTGCTCTTTTAAAAGCCAGATATTTAATTGAAAAAAATCTCTTCTAGCAACTTGTTCTGTAACAATAACAAAAATTGCTACTGGTTGGTATTTGATGTTTATTAATAAGGACAGTAGAATGAATCGATAAGTGCATTTTAAATGTCTCTTGCAGATGACCTATAGATGACCTTTATTTCATCTTCTTAACATTAAACCAACTTATACTTCTAATCTAGCAGACGATTGGTTTGGAAATTAATTTAGAAGTAATTATTATCCGTCCTATTACTTTGTTGAGAAGTTAAAGATAAATGGAAATATCTTTGAGGGCAAGAATTACACACAACAATGAAAACATCTGAAATATCCTGCTATTCAACAAAAACTAATAAAAATTGGAATTGATTTTTTCTTTTTAAAACCCATTATCATATTTTTCTTTTCATCATTAAACCAAACAATAACCGAAGAAGACTTTGACCATATCAGATACAACGATTAGTCTTTAATGTTGGAAAAGAAAATCTCCGCAAACAATCGGGATTGTATATAAAGTTAGTGTCTGTTAAAGGCAATAACATTTGAAAAATCTAAAAGTTTTACTTCAATAAGGAACATTATGTATTGAAAAAAAAGCGCAAATATGTCACAAAATGAAATTTTGATTGCCGGAATGAAGAAAAAGAATTTGAATGTGTGCAGTTTTATGGATATTTGGAGGACAAAGAAGTATCAAAGTTAATCAACATATTCTGGACAATAGATGAATGAATGAAAGGTTATGTTTTTCTTGTTTTTCATAAATTAGACAGTTACTGATGATCCCTACAATATTTCAATTATACAATGATAACACTTATTAAATTTAAATAGTCTTATTTGCAATGATATGTTTGAATTTAAAGGGTATTAATTGGAGTTTTTTTGATTCAAAAAGTTTCATTTGAATTTTTTTCAAGAAGAAACAAGACAATCGAAAAAATTTTTTTTGTAATAATGAATAATAGTAGCTAATTAGAATTTCCAATATTTGGATTATTACTACTACCTACTATTAATTAAATTTGTCTTTTTTCATTTTGAAATTATTTCGAATTATTTTGTGCAAAAATTCAACTCTTAAAGGCAACTTAAGTTTTCACTCTTTTGTTTTCTTTTTTCTAAATGTTGATTATGTACAAAAATTAGATTTACGGAGTGATAGCTTTACATTTACGGAGTATGCAGTCATTAATTAAACGATAATTTTACCATCGAATTTCGATTTCTAAAATTTACTGTATTCACAAAGCGTTTATCATTTGACAAAAAGTTTGGCAATTAAGAAATTTAATTTTTCTTAGACGATCAGACAATTTCAATTTGTTAAATTTAAAAAAAAAAGTAAATGAATATCAATTTGGGCGACAAATTTATTAAACTCAAATTATTGCTAAATTGAAAGTGCAAAATTGATAAATTTAAATTAAAAAATCAATTGACAGTGTATTACAAGAAATCAATTGAACTATTACATTCATTACCATATCAAATAGTTCGCAAAATGGCGCCTTAACATTCTACCAATGTCACAGTTATATCATTCGAATCTCATTGATGTCAAAGTTTATCTATAATTTCATTTCAAAATTTTTTTCCCACAAACCATTTCAAATTCATTCAACAAATTAACATAGGCTAAAAATGAATCAGAAATCGCATTATTAATGGAGAATATTGTTGAATCTTTCTTCATATTATAATACTGCTAGAATTAATTAACATTGAAAAGAATGATACAAATTGATTCAAATTAGTTTTTTGCGACAATTTGGTAAGGAAGAAAAATTACTGATAGTCATTTAATCATATTTAACGATCACAACACAGCACGATTCACAAATTTCGTTGCATTTCCTATGCGAGATTAAAGTTATTCAAAATCAAAATGCACTACAATGGGCAATTTTACTCTCTTAGTTCTAACAACGAATTTGTTTCCACTTGTCAATAATAAGGTACTATCTTAATATGTGAAAAATATACCAAAAGTAACATGAAAGTTTTTCTTCATTCCATGCAAGAAAAATAAATAATGATAACCAAGGCAAAAAAATGACCGGTGTCAACAAGAGTTCAGTCAGTTTTATCATTTACCAATCAATTGTTCAAACAATGAATATACGATGAAAGACTTCATTTATTCTAGGCTAGATTGCACACCTGTAAAATTTACTTGTATATGCTTCTTTCTAATATAAATCAATCATTCACAATTATTCAATCATATCAAATGATCTATACGTATATTTGCTACTTCATTATACAGACGTGTTTCAGTACGCAGTATCACTTACGTCACGTAAGTCAATCGCCATGGAACAGTGCATTGTTCTAAGAAGCATTTCTTCAGTAGTTGCTACAATCGATTCGTCCCGTCGTCTGAGCCATCGATTTTGTCGGTAAACAGCTCGAAACATTATGACAAGTATGACAGATAAACAACATATTACTGCGAACAATAAAACTGTAATTGAATCATCATTCAATCCATTTTTATCTGCAATTTAATGATTGGATAATTGGTAGATGTTAAAGATTGATCAAATGATCGTAACAGGTTGTGATTGGATCGATTCTGCATTCGGTGACATATTCGGAATAAGATTGGATATGATATAGAACTTTGCGGATGATATTTTCACATGCCAGTTTTATTTAACAAAAAAAAAAAGACAATTCAATCTCAGAATTCATAAAAAGATAAATAGGAATTACCTGCAATGCATTCAGGTAACGAATCATTCCATAGGCCTGATTTCAAGCATTCGACCATCTCACTGCCATATAAAATGTAGCCTTTCCAGCATTTGAACCACACTTGCATTCCGTGCCGAAAAGTAGCATTAGATAGGTTAGAAGTAATGTAATCACCTTTCTGAATGAAAGGTTCAGGACAGGTCACTGAAATGAACGAAGCATTTTGTATGGAAGAAAGGTTGGTTTTTTTTAATCATCATCAGAATTCGATTCTCTCCACTGTACTATTCCAAAGAAGATTAGAAAGAATAAAATTTACATTTCGGAATGCAATTTGGCCATTTGGGTGGATACCAATCAGAACCGGAATGTAATTCAGAATTCAGGCATACCATTGAAGAAGGACCAACTAGACGAGTTCTGTCGTCCTTGCATCGTAGCTCAATCTGTAATGCTAGCTGATAATATATTAATTTTGTCTAAAATGATTTATAACAAATTCATTTAGTCTATCAGTCCAGGGATGACTTCTATCGAAGTGAACTGAAATGAATAATAAGGAAAGCAAATTCCAAATGATATATTATTATTTCATTAAATTATCCGAATGTACTATGTAGTATTTTTACATATCACTATTACTTTTATCAGATACCTTTGTACCGAGCGGAAGTGACGCTTTCGGAGAAAAACAGCTTGTTGGCTTTCCTTCACAGTTAATGCTACTTGGTATGAAATTAAGGAAACGCGGAATTTGCCAGATTGCACAAATATTTCGTGTAGCTGAAATTAAAGGTCGACATGCAAAATGTTGGAAAGATTTTGAACTTGCTTGCTATCATTCTGAACGATTTCTTTATCTTTTCTGTTTGCTAGCATTAAGCAACAATGCAAAATTATGAGGAAAAAGTTTCATGATTACTAATCCATTTTAACAATTTCTACAGTTCCATGGAGAGATAATCGAAGAGACTGTGAAATCGCTAATCCGATTGAAGAACATTTAAAATAGCCTTAAAGATGTTGAGTTGAAAATTCGATCATGACTTATTTCTGCACGTAGCACCCACTATCAAATGGCAGTTTCATTTATTCTATTTATAGAAATGCAAATAAAACTGTGAATGTTGTGATGAGAGAGAAAAAAAAAACGGACCACAGTTAGGATATTTGAGGCCACTCGGCACATCGTTAACTTCATGGACCCATTGGCTATTAATACATCGCAATGTATGCTTTCCCGGTGGATGCAACGTATTCTGTGCTAAAGCACATCTAAATGGTATATTCAACGGATTCAACGTATTCAACGTACCAATCCAATCATCCACCTCATTACCGCTATCACAGACATGTTCATTTCATTTAGGCTTTGAAGTTGAAAACAACTAAAAGAAGTCATACTTAACAATCAACGTATCATTATGTCTGAAGAATCGAGAACTTCTGGTAGCATTAATACGTAATCCACGATGTATTAAATGTGGTAGTTCGCATATGTGGAATGTTGGTTTTCCATAAGTACAACGTGGTTGAAAACTATTCATTCCACCACCGCCACTACCAATCAACAACCATATACCGCCTGTTCCGGAACTATTCAATGTGCATCGTAGATTCACACTACTCTAAAAAGAAAACGAATATTATTGATAGGATATTTCATAGTATATAAGTCTCATAAATGAATGAAAAAGGATTTACCAACGGATGAATGACATCTTTCTCAATTTCCAATCGTCTTTCTCGTCCACAACTCACTTCAGCGATTGTTTCTGTCGCATACTAAAATGAATGATTCGAACATCAGATTGATTAATTTTAAAAAAATTTAATTTTAACGGATTAAAAAATGATAAATAAATAAATAATCCTAGAGATAGTGTACAATAGAAGCAACATATTACTTCAGGAAATATATCAAACTTCAATATTTTGACGAATATTTTCAGTCTAAGATAGAACTGAAAAAGTTAATTTGCATGGAGGAAAGTTCACACTTACTTGACCTTTCGAATTAGCTTCAATAAAGAAACTTCGTAGTGTTACGCGATCACCCAACGTTGAATTTATAGTTGGCGATTGACACCATTGCGGACTCATTTCTTTACCCCATAAAAGCTTTTCGTCACCGTAATCCTCAAACTTGATTTTTTCATGGATTTCGGTAAAAAATCGGCAATCTGATCAACAGGCTATTTGATGTAACTGAACAGATTGCTTTATTATAAGCTGTTTTGTAGGTTATATAAATAGTAATGTTAATATTATAAAATTATTATTTGCATAAAATGATAAGATCTAATAAATAATGATTGGTTGTTCGTGCTGGTAATTCGAATGATTGCGTCCAATCATTACTGATATCACATTAACCAGCAAATTCGATTATTCCATTTCTATTTGGTCCATCTTAATGATGATATCTTGCACTCTTCATGCCATATTTCTGATGTTACCAAAAAATTAGACTCTCAAGAATTCTTGAAATGACGAATAAACTTCGCTCCTTGATATTTAAGCGATCAAAAGGAAGGGAAAAGGGGAAAGGTCATAGATTAATCATATCTCAGATCCAGAAGTTACCGATATCCTCTGCACATGACCGATTGTTTTTGTGAAGCAGTTATGCAAATATTGGCATCATATTATTTACATTTAATATTATTTACATTTAATACTCATATACTTTCTTAAATTGACAAGAAAGCAGAAAATATCAATAATTAATTACCGTATAATCAATATCTTCTCCAGTTATTTCCAAAATTTGTTCCTTGGATAAAAATACAACGAGTGGAACGAATGTAAAAAAGAGAAGTATAGTACAGTTCATTATCATAAAATGACAATTCACTATCGCTAAATGCTCCGTATTATTCTTCAGAGCAGTAATGATAGAAAATTGAATTTTATTTAATTTATCAATTATCTGACAATAATAAGCAAAACATGTTTTATTTCAGATTAAAGAGAAAGAAAAAGAGAGAAATTTACCGGAAAAAAGAAAATATTTTGTTTACGAGAGTGGAAGGTTTTTAGTGAGTAAAACAGATAACACTTTCATGAGGGAAAAAAATCTTCATCTTTGCTTCATTTCCAATATCTTCACCAAATTACTGTAATAGCATATTTCAGTTTTAAGAAATTAGATGATTTCATTTCTTTTTAAAAGCGGAAAGCTAAAAATCTCATACATCTCATGCAATTTAGCTAAGATTCATGTATGTGTTATTGGTTAAAATTTCATTTTAAGAATTAAGAAGAGAAGTGATAATTAAAAAGCATGCTTGTATTATCGATGACCATATAATCTCATCGTTTAACTATTTCATTATATGGCATGGATGTTTGTTATTAGGTCGTATGCTATTAAATTCAACCTTATTGTTCTCTTCTCATCTTTACTTCATCATCATTTGCTAATATCCAAACTTTTTTTCCTGCGAATATTTCATTTTAAAATCGTGTGAAATTGGAAATTTTCACCTAATATGAATGTGAGACCGTGTTAAATGTAAACGAGCGGGAATTCGACTGTGAACTGTTATTAAAATTGACATTATTGGGATGTTGGTGTGTTCCGTGTAGTTGTGGGTGTGTGCAATTGTTGTGAGGGTCACTACAGGTCAGTGCAGTATTGTTGTATTTGGTTAGATGCTAAATGATGGTGTAATTCTTCTATTAAATGTAGTTTTGTTACGCTGAATGCGTCTAACCACTTTACACATTTCATTTTATAATTTACGATCTGATTTAGTGGATTCGGTTTATTTTTGCTATGTGTGTTCTCTTTTGGATTTGCATTGCCTAAACATTGCATGCTGAGTATTGTTTAATTCATTTTGAACATTTGACCTTTTCATTATTTGATCGTAACCCATCTCATTGTCATGTTTCGTACACACACTATTGCTTATTCATTCATTTTCATCTACCTTTCCTTACTGTTTCTTGGATAATGTTTGACCTTTCTTTTCATTCATTTTTCTCTTCATCGGTTATCTAGAATGGAGCTTTCTTATTGATTGGTATTATGCATTCTCATCTGCAGTTGGCATCGTCTGTCATTCCGCAGTGAATCTGTGTGTATGTTTTATTTTCCACTGAATTCTTATAGTTTTCATTGTTGTCAACTTCAGCTAAATAAATAAATTTCATTGCTATCATTTATACACTTTTCTTTTCATCTAGCTGATTTTCGCTCTCTAAAGCGTCCTATGATAATTACACGCTTGACAGAGTACATAACAGCGGAGTATGTGACCCAGCGTGCCAAATTTATTATCCTGTCTGTTTCTCTATTTATCTTTTTGAAAATTGAATTTTTCGAAAAGATAAACGGTTGAGGTACACTTTTTTTGATGATTCGTCTTTTGTGGCAGATCAAAATGAGATCATCTGATGCGCTGTTTTTCGTTTCAGAGTTTGTTAGTGGTATTTTTAATTTTTATTTTGTGAAATCTTGCGGTTGATGATGGCAGATGCTGAAAAAGAAGACACACAACAAGACAGCGATGAATGTGATTTGGTAGACGATAGTGGTATATTTCATTTTCTTCAACTTTTATTAATAAGCTGAGGAGTGTAATGGTTGAAGTCCTTAAAAGGAATTTTATTAGCGATTCAAGTCGGAAACTAAACTTCTTGGACATTAGCTTTGTTGCTTTGTTGGGCAAATGCGATTGATGCGAATAAAAATAGGTCCGATTTAGTGGTGAAGAAATATATTTTCCAATACCAAGATGACATTGTCGAATAATAACATTGCTTCCAGATTCTAAAACTTGTGCATGTTGCAGTTTCGATGGATGAATGGGACATAGGAAGGCAAGTGTACTTTAATGACGTCATTATGCGCAAAGTGATCAGTTTTGTGAATGATGTTAAGCATCGACAGAACTTAGAACTTGTTAGCATAACTATGAAAGATTTGAGTTCGCGTGTTCCTTATATTAGCTATAACAACGATAACAGCATTTTGGATATATATTTTACGGTATATTCTTTTTTGTATTCTAGACCTTGTAGAAATTCAGATGTACAAGACTTATATCAAGTTTATGGTCTTCTTATTTTTGACAAGAGGAAGCACTAACTTTTTGGATTAGAGTCTTTGGATTAGACTTCTATTTTTCTCTTAGGTCATTATTGTTACATCTTTAATTTTTGTGTATTTCTAAAATTTTAGAAAAGAAAACTTTATCTAATTTGTTAGTTCTCCAGAGGGTCGAGCCCGTGATGAACATAAGTATTGCGGGTAACAATTTCAAAGTGACGGCATTAACATCCAGTGTTCGGCGTACTTGCGCTGACAATCCGACTTCTCAATCCAGTGTTTGCATTCTTAAGATGCAACACATTATTAAACGTTTCTCACGACAAATTTGTCGACTGCATATTGGTGGCATTTCGGATTTCGAGCGTCGACTAGGCTACATTCCAGATCATCAAGTATGAATTTGAACAATATTTGCATTTTCTATAGCTGATAGAAAAAAATCGACTTTAAATTGTCATATTTCTTTCCTTTGCTTCCGGCTGTAAGCGCAAACTGGTATTAACTTACGAATGAAATGGAAAATGAATTTTTTGTAGCACGTCTGACTTATGTCTTTATCCAATGAAATCCAGTATTACTGAAGATTTGATGTAAAACGAAGGGATAGTAAATTTGTGTAGATGGTAAAATAGTTTCTTGAGTCGATCATTAACATACTTCGAGTTTTAGTGAAATTCTGTGTCCACATCTGTTATCTGATTTTAGTATTCGATAATCACATTGAAGGGACTTTAGAGATGTTCAAGCATCTTCAAAAGTGTGCTTTTTCTAACAAAGACAAGTGTCACCCATCTATCAGAAGTTATTGTTATAACTTCGTCAAGAATAGGGAATATGAGCGTGAAGATATTCGTAAAGGACCACGAGGCATCTAATAAAACAAGAAAGCATAGTGTTTTGTAGTAAGATAAGTTAGAGAAAATGAAATTTGAAATAACGATTTTTTAGTGGAGATTTTTGTTTGTTTTTCAAGTTCATTTTTGCTTGTTCATTATTATACCGCATGTAGACGGTTATAGCTGAAGCAATCTCTTTCAGCTCTCTGGTATATATGAAGAAACTTCTATAAATAGCACTTATGTGTATCATTACAATTCATCTATTAATTGCAGCTTGTACTGAGTCGAGATCTCTGTGATGAATTCGACCGATTGAAAAATGTGGATTCTCTGGTTCTTCGCAATCTTTGCTTGATGTCTTCAGTGATCGAGTATTGTAAGTTCATTTCAAGGTTCCTATTTCATAGAATATTCATTGATTCTATATCCGCTTACTAGATTTTATTGTTTCAGGGAGTAGCAGCGAATGTGTTCTTACCAATCGAATTTCAAGCCTTTGCTTCCATAGTATCTGGTTCGATCATGCCGAAGACATCGACAATTTTGTAGTGAGTTCTTTCCCTCCTCCCTCTTCTTGAAAAAATGCATAAAATCGCTAGGTTTCGATAATAAAATTTGAAAGCAAAGTAAGGATGGTTAAGTTTATTTATAGTGGTTTAGGTGTTATACTATGTAGGCTGAATCAAGTGGCATCCCAAAGCATGAGTTGAAATCAAAATTGTACTGTTTAAATAAATGTGTTCAAGCGTTACCTAAGTGCAGTAATGATGTTAATCATTTCAGTCGATAATTTCTGGAAGCGTCAGAAAATTGTACCTCTCGGACTGCAGCGGAAAAACCATTATGAATATAGGAGGACGGCTTCGGACCCTCCCCAACAAGCTTGACATCCTTTACATAGCCATCGATCATCGAACATTTCGAACTGTGGACCAGGCGCGCCAGTTATTTAAGGTATTCTTCTATCAAATAAAACATTCATTGAAGGTATGCTTTAGTCGAAAAACTAATTGAATAAAAAAAGAGACGAGAACTTTCTTTCCACTCATAATGTTAGATAATTTGCTTTTCAGGAAATGTCTAAATTTGCCAACAGATTGCATATTTGCGCTTGCTTCTCGCGTTTTGTCTATCAGCCTGGCTTCCGAATACTTGTAAGTGTCATATCTTTATTGCCCGAATTCCAGCAAATTACTACGGTGGAGTTGGATTTAGGGCCTTTGCGAAAGAATATGCGAACCTATGACCAATTTTTTGCCGGTAATTCTTTGTTACTGACATTATAATGATATTATAATGGGATATTGTTATATTAGCTTCTTATGATAATCCATATTTGCACATTTTGTTGAAGCATGAGTGAATCACTACATTTTATTACAGTAATAGATCGATCAATATTATTAAACCTTCTTACGAAAAAAAAAATGCTAAAATTTGGTGTCCCTATGCATTTTACTGTGTAATGAGAACATTGCAGATGCAGAAGTTGGAATCTATATTTCATTCATAATTTATTTGGATCGATTATTTTAGGTATACCGCGTATGTCACAGCTGCGAGTTCTCCGTCTGTTCGGTTTTCCGATCAATTATGGCTGCATGGATCTTTGGAAGATGATGTTGCGGTCTATCGCCCAGTTATCACAGATCACCGAGTTTTCGGTAATCAATTTGCTAAGAAATATTCGAACCGATGAACTGAAGGCTTTCTGTGAGTCGTTGCCTGTCAATCTGAGCACTCTCGCGCTTCACCACGTCCACCAGTTTCAAGACGATCATTTCAGCCTTATTGCTCAAGTACTCTTCTATGACTTTTCTAAAAAACCATTCTAAAATATTCTATTTTTTAGAATAGTTTTTGAATCATGAAACTTAATTCTTTTTAATATGTAACGAATCTGAAGTTAAGGATATCTTTGCGAGAATCACGTACCATACTACAGGTCACATACCATACACACTTTTTTGGGATATAATAATGAGTCAAACAACGATTTTTTTGACTTACTGATTATTTTCAGTACATGTCAAGCAAAATAAAATAAATGAAGTTTTTAGCGTTGTCCTCAATTGGATACGTTCTATGTGCGCGATCTGAGATCAGTAACATCAGAGGGCATAATGAAAGCTTTGATGGAGTTCCGAATGTTGACCAAGATAGCGGTTTGTCATTCGGGTCCAGTTACAAAGCAAGCCTACGAATTACTAGCCAATCGTGAAGCTATGCCTTATATCGAAGCCGTCATTTTGGGTGGTAACAGAGATCATCAGAGCGGTAGTGAGTTTACGTTTCTTTCCAGATGTATATATGTAAAATATGTTCATTGTAATATGAGATTACGGCTGGATATCGTGGAGAGTTGGAATAGATAGCAATGAAGTTTTTTTCACCATATTTAAATATTTGTAGTTTAGTGGGTGCAAAGTTTCTGTTTTTTGAAGTTTCTGCAAAGGTCAATACAGTTCTGATACCCGTTCATTCTTTATTGTTGGATATAGAAATATTATGCTACAAATAATGTAAGGAATATTTTCAGTTGTCCCGCAGGCTCTGCTACATCGATTACCACAGTTACGTGTGATAGGCACATGGAATCGATGGCGCGATTGTGAATATCACCTATGGTGTAATATTAAAGCTTACAAAGAATTACTAGACGTATCATGCTACGCCGATTGTCCAGGATGTGGAAAAGATGTGAGCCTGATTGACGATGATGATGACATCTCGTAGAGAATCCATCGGAGTTCCAACGATCATTTTCCGAATAGTTCTAGCTAATTATTAATGGTGCCTGTATAAAAAGTGTTTGTCATCCAGTGATTGTTACCTCATGTCCATCATAGGCTCCTTTATTTATTTCAGAATCTATTTAAGAGGCACTTTCTATCATATATTGTTTGTATCTTCACCAGTGAGCTTAAAATATTTGTTGCTATAGGGAACTGAGGAGCACGGTTAAGAACAAAAAGGAGACAGACTCTGTCTCTCAGATATGTAGTATCAGTTTCTTTTTGTCTAAGACCATTGCATATCTGAGCAGAAGCAAAAATAGATGACCTCAAAGAAACTAGTTAATTCATGGCTCTAATCTTGACACTCCACAACAGGGGCAGAGACATAAAGGCTAAAAATTAGTAGATTGATTAATGAGCTATGTATACACAAATGATATTTCGAAATCGAAACGTATCTTTTTATCGCTTTTTTGTATATCACCACTGAATTATTTATTGGCTGTCAATTCTTTTTTTTCTTTTCTGTTTTTTTTGCTCGTTTTACAATAGACGTTATCTGATTCGTCACTGTATTTCCGAACTATTTCCTATCGAAATAAACGGTAAGCTAAACGCAGCTATCATCGTCTGTGGGTCATCTGTATAGATGGAGAAGAGAATAATCTACTAGTAAAGACGGAATTTATAAAAGCCGGAATCTGACCATAGTAGGTCTTCAGGAATTGGATTTCTTCTGAGCTTATCAAAGCTACAGATAGTGCACTAAATACGTATGCTTATCTTGCGCGGCGGTAGTGAGATTTCCATCATCGAGAAGGTGTATTGCAGTCATTTTCGCAATATTCTTAAACGACCGAAACACTCCGTTTAGTGTGCCTGTTTGTTAGACTACTAGTGAAAACATAAACATATGAGGCTGCTGGTATTGCAGAATTGTTTTAATGTTTGCTGCCATCTCTTATAGCCTAGTTTATCCCGAAATATGCCAATATAAAGTCAATCAAAAAAGAACAACGTTATTAGATGGTTACGACAAATTCTACAATGTATACGCTTGACTCTATAGACAGTAACTAATACTTCCAAATATCCTGGCCTTCTGGTATTTCAGCAATTCGACTGGCAAACATTTTGCTTTGTCCTTTCATCATGCTTGCTTTGTACATACCTTGCCGATCGAAACAGTAACCTGAAATATCATTTTCCAATAATTTGATGGCATTAAACAGTAGTTGTTGTCTCTTACTCTCTACACTGTCTTGCATCAAATGGGAACATCAATTTTCCAAACTAATTTAAAGTCTATTTATGTCTGGAAATTGGCATTGTAACTACTCGAAATAGATTAATAACTTTTCTGCCAAGTGACTTTAAATGTTAAATCTCTTCATTGTTACGTAAATGGGCGAAGAAAGAAAGAGAAGGAAAGGAAAAATTAATCTCAGATGGAATGTCTAACAGACTTTTTTCTACGGAAAGATTTTTTTATCCTCCTCCCAGTAGGAAAATTCGCTTATTATGATAAATGATATCATCACTACCAACCCCATCAAAAAGCCCAAAGAACAATTCAATTTAATCTTACAATTCAATTTAACGATGTGAGAAACCATTTTATTTCTTTTTCGAAGCACTATGTCGTTTGTCTGCCTAAATAATACAGTAACATGGACAAATGATAATGTGGCTCTGGAAAATACACTGTAAAGGTTACTTTCAGGTATCCAGTGAAAAAAAAAAACAAGAAACTTGCTGAGGACAAAGAAGGATGTCTGCTAAAAAGTACCACATGAAGTTGGTAAACTGCTTCCATTTAAAAACAATCCAGAAATCAAGATCTAGGTACTGATTTGCAGTGATTAGAAAAATATCTCAGACTCAAAGTAAACATGCGGAAAGAGCAGGCTCACCGATATATGCCATTACAGCTACTGACGCCCACAAAGTTTTCTTCTCCCAAATTGCTTTCTTGAAAAAATATTTCAGCGTAAATGTTCCCATTTATAGATGACTGGACGAGAAAATGACCTGGAACATATAATTTGAATAGTTTAAATATCAAACCTAAATTATCTCGTGGGTAGTATTCTCGTCACGCATTGCATCAAGAATGGTTGTATGTCCGGTTGCTCTTAAACGTTTCATGGTACGCCAATCAGTTATTATTAACGTTGCAGCAAGCAAAGGCCAAATCCATACAGCTAACATTCGTTTAACAGGAAATCGAAACATCTAAAAATAATGAGAACATTTGAAATCGAACTTAAAAAGTGGTTCAGCCGAAAAATCAGACTTCTTTGATTCCCGATAAATCGAACAAATTTTAAATTCAAGCATCTAAGACTGGCCACCAAAATACCAATCAAAAACTAATCCAAATTTGCGTAAATTTCTTGAAAAACTGCACTATCCAATTTAATCAGTCCAAAACTTTTGAAATAACATTTTGCAATAATGCAACATTAACTTTTCCTCCGGTCAACGAGCAACAAAACTTCCCACGGACATCGTAAATATTGAAAATACTCTCCAACACGTAGCACATTAGCATCGGACATCACAAACCGTCAAATACCAAATCCTGACAGGTAATATAGAAATCGGTTAGTGCGGTGGTTGGGTTCCGGAATGTGTTAGAAACTTTTAGTGATGAGTGATTGTATCAGGATTTGATAGATTCAGTCAATATCGGTTTCTTCCTGTTTAAAATGAAATGAATATATGCTGCAGGTGTATTCATGACTGATACCTTCGCTTCTACATCAACGGATAACAGTGAGGAAAATTTGGTTGAGTCGCTTACATCACAGGTTGACGATGAAGCCATTACTGAGATCATACGATTGCAAAAAAAATCGTAAGATTCCTGTTTTATATGCTACAAAAGTATGCGATCTTCGAAAAACCGTGCGGAAGTTGCATAATATATGTGTACATGATTTATCATATGTTAGCAAGAAGTGTATAAATAAAAATGGAATAATATGCTTTATGTTAACACGAAGATATAAAGTGCAGCATTTTTGCATGTAATTCAATTTCTGCTGCGTGATGAAAAAAACACAAATTTAATAAGCGATTTATCATACACAGAAATATAACAATTCTTTCATTCACAAGTATGCTAAGAAGTAATTCGTAGCATTTTCAGGTTAACACATTTCGAGAAAACAAATGAGATGCTAACAAATTGCTGTGGATTATCGGCTAACAGACTTGAAAAAGCACGGAGAGATTTAGCCGAGAACAGACAATTAATATTGGAAATGAAATCGGATTTGGAATCTATTTTTCGGCGAATACGTATTTTTAAACAGAATTATATTACTAAATATGCTGATATTTATAAATATTTTGGTGGGTTATTAACATTTAAATCAGAATATCAATTATTGGTTATACTATGATGCACTTCATTCTATTATATCGTTAGCATTTATATGCAAAATATTTTCTATATCTGAGATTATTTTGAAAATGTCATTTTGATCAAATAATTGCTGGCATTGTCGTTCTTTCAGAGCAGCAGTACCGTGATGAAGAAAAAGAAGAGTAGGATAAGCATATGGTTTCTATCTGCATCTATCCGAAGGTATACAAATTCGGTGTTTTAATCTTATTTTTCCCTGTGATGAACTTCTATCAAGTTTTCAAGAATAGGTGGAATAGCGCGCTTGCAAGATCTTTAAATATTAGTAAAGATGGAGGCAAAGCAGCTTCATTCTGGTAATAACTTGCTTTTCCGGAAATATCTCATATTACGCGTAAATGAATTTCCTGCTGCATATACTGCAATTCTTGTCTTTTTTCATGTTAATCTTGACTATGTAAGACGTAAGTTTATTTTTCGTTCCAAATACAAATCCATTAATTATGGATTAGTGAATTATGACTTCCTATAAATGCGTCTAGTTTCGACTTTCATTTTTAAGTTTGACGCTTGCACGGACGATGATTCAAGATACTTCTCCCTTTTCTTCTTTTTGATCTTACACTTTGTTGAATCATCGTTGCTCCTTTCCCGCTTTTTATGTTGTCCGCGATGATTATGTTTCTTACTTCTTCGTTTCATTTTTCGTTTATGTTCTGCAAATATCAAATCTCCCTGAATTTTTTATAGGAAAGAATGCTAAATCTTTCATATAAACTAATTTTATTTTATTTGTTTTCTAACCTCGTAAAATAAATAATTTGTAGATTAAGGAAATAACAATCAATACCGACATCGTTTTCATTTCAAGTGATCCCACATCACGTTTTACAGTGTCGTAGCTATAGCATGTAAAGTGAGTATCATATTACTTTCGTACCTTTAGCAGTAAGTGGCGTTTCGTAATCGGACTCTGAACTTGTAGAAGAAATATCTGCGCAGTTTTCTCCGCTAGGTCGCAAGAAATTGTAACATTGAAATGGAAGATGCCCAGGATAACCACATTTTCGGCAAGCACCTGCCGTCGTTTTTTGAATTTTTATTCCATTACATACATCTGTTACAACATTACTTTTTTACTTCAATTCACATAACTATACTGTAACTATACTATTTAAAATTAATGTAACTATACTATTTATCCAATTGAGATGCTAGTTAAAATTAGTCAGGAATGGTACCGACAACTTACCCATAGACATAGCCGAACTTCCTGGTTCCACAGGACGGCTCGGTAATCCACTATATTCCAAACTGCTCATATGTGCGAAAGGATGAGATTATTCGGAAGACTATCAGATAATTCAAGAAAACTGAAAGATGGATTATGCATCCGCGGTAATTCGCTAAGTATCCACGACGTGTCAAATTGAGAAGGTTCCAATGATCAACTCAGTATTGATCGGCTTCACCTATAATCAATTTGTTTCATATGCTTATTGGTAGTTTTCAGTATGTTATAAATTATGGATAGATTATCTAATTCA